CCAAAACACGACAGCGTGGGGCACAGGCGTCCCTCCAAAACACGACAATGTGGGGCACAGGCATCCCTGCAAAACATGCAGCTGGCATTTCAATAGGAATGGTTTCCCCAAACTGCACGCACTTAGTCTGTGTAGCTACAGCAATACTGGAAATAAAACCTACAGTCTCAGCAGCTGCCACCCCAGATTCCCACAGCATGGGGCGAACCGCACCCCTAATGCAGGCAGAACTCTGTGAAATCACACAGGAGAAGCACCAGTGTCTGGGCCGGCAAAGCTGCTGTGCAGGGCTGAGCCCTCCACACACAGGCTTGCAGGTACGGCACCAAGGAATACTTCTAGTCCATCCGCGTCATTCAGGACAGGACCGGCTCCAGCAAAGGATTACTGAGACGAAGACGCCACCGCCTGCCTGAGCTGCTGCACGCCTCTCCTGTAACTTGCCCCCTAGGGCAGAGGATATGAAAGGGTCAGACTAACTGTAACCTGTATGTCTTCTAAAGCCTATAGTTTTGAGTTTTAGGTTCAGGTTAAGCTAAAGCCTCTTAGTACCTTTCCAGAGAATGGAAAAATGTGACCCTATCTATGAGGACAGATAGAAAAAAAGGCAAGCAAGCAATGACCTTCACTCAGCAAAAAGAAAAACTCCTGTCTTTGAGATAGCATTTCTTAGCAACAAACCTAGCCTTCTTCTGAGTAGCTTTTGACCTCCAGCCAAAAGTCCGTAGCCCCTAATCTTCAAGGATGAGCTAACCCCACCTTCAATTGCAGCTGCATCCACACTTGGCAGGACTGGCCAAGCTTGAGCACCTAAGACTAACCAATTATCTTACTTTATAGCTTCCTCGTCCAATCCTAAATTGCCAAGACTGCAACTTCAAATCTCCCGCAATTTTTCTTTTAAAAACCTAAAGGCCTTTGTCTCCTGGTGCCACTCTTTGCTGACCGGCAGGGGTGACCCCACTGCACAATGGTTAATAAACCTCTTGCTTTTGCAACGAGTCTTGGTCTGGGGGAGTTTCTGGGAAGGGCGCGATCTTGAACTCCTGAGCTGTGAGACCCCAGGTCTTACAGATACAAGTGGACACGGCATTTGTCACTCCTCTCTGTGCAAACACAATGCCCCGTCCCAACCTCGTCAGCTCCCCAGGAGCTGGCCAAGCGAACCCCACCTTAGACCAGGCCACTCAGGCCTCCTTGAACATCTCCCCAGGGCCAGGCTGCCTGCTCAGCTCTAGGCCTGGTCAAGCAGAGCTGTGCATGCCCTCTGCCTCTAACACACACTTCCCATCCTGATTAGTGCTTGACTCCCCTTGCACACTCAACTCAAAAAATGCAGCCTTACACAATCAGGCACAAGCCAGCAGGCTGCCTAGGTCACCTGTAGCCTGTGGCTCCCCTACCCTCACTACATCCTGCAAACCTTGACTTTGCTCTCTATTTTTCTTAGTAACACACCATACACTACACATGCGTGCGCACACACACACACACACACACACACACACACGCACACGTGTGTGCTCAATGCAAATCACTGCATTCTCCAGCCTTCCTTTAAAGAGCTGGTTCACAAACAAACACCAACAATGAAAAGCTTACTAGAGAAAAGAAACCGCACACTGCCTCAGGTTACCGAGGCGGGAAAGGAGGGTGGGCGATGAGGGGAGGTAGGACAAGCACTAGCTACACTTCGTCTCTGCCCAGCCTCCTGGCAGTGTCGGCCAGGGGCCACGTCACCCTTGAGCGCAGACTTCTGGAAGGCCGGCAGAAGTTACCAGAAACAAGAATACTCTCCCTCCTAGGCTGACGTCCTAGCGTCCAGCTGCATGCTTGACAGGTTCAAACCAAACTGTGTTTTCCCTTCCTGGGAAGTCAAAGAAACATTGTTACCTGGGGCCAGGGACCGTTTCCCTCTGTACCTGTCGCTGTTTGGGGCTGGCTCACACTCTCTCTCCTCTTTTACACAGTCCAGGACACAGTCCCAGGAACGGTGTCACCCACAGTGAGCTGGCTCCTGCCTCTTCACCCACGCACACACACCCATCAGCCACCACAGTCAAGCCCATCCCCTACAGAGTGCCTCCAGAGCAACCTGATCTGGGCAGCCCCCCATGGGGACCGCGCCCTCCCCAGGGGATCCTGTACCTGTCAAGCTGGCAATTAAAGTGAGTTTGTGCACAGATCTGGTGCTGCCATGTTCTGAGTGATGCCCTGCATGGTCAGGTCAGCCTGCTCACTGTCAGCCCGCTCACAAGATGCCTGTGCTGGGTGGGCCCGACCTCAGCAAACCACAGAGCTGAACGCCTGCCTGCCCCAAGGAAGCGAGTGCGTCGGCTCGGAGCTCAGCAAGAGTTAAGTGCTCTTAGCTTCTTCCGTGTGAGCAGACATCGATTGGAGCCTTGAACACGGCATGTGCTGAAATCTAAAGCAATCAGAGGCCCCCTGGGTTGTCGATCTTCTTCCTCGTGCATTCCAGTCATGCCCAAGGAGAGATAATTACAAGGTTCCCCATGGGCTTCAGCATTAGTGAACATTTTTATGAAGTGGTAAGTTGTGACGATGCCTTTTCTATCATAATTGAGGCTGTAGTGGCAATAATTAGCTCACTTGTGTTTCATGATTAGAAAACACACTAATTAAATTTCTATTTAAATGCAATACTGATATTTATAAACACTGGATCTGAGCGAATTAGCCGTGAGGTTATTGTTCATTAAGCAACAGGATCAATAAATAACATCTCAATCAAAGGCCTGGGGACCTGGGTAGATTCAACTCTATCACTGAAAACTGCGATGAGATGCAGGAAAACCCAAATCCTAACACTGTAAATGCCTGGAGAGACAATGAGACCTGTTTCTGGATGGAGGTCTTCGGTAGAAAGTGATGGACTCTGGCAGGAGCCGTTAGCCAACCAACACAGGACTCCCAGAACCCTGGCGAGCCAGCACAGGGGCTGAGTGAGGCCACTGGTGCATGTCCCGGCAGAGGTGGTGGCCGACGCTCTGCCTCCCAGCCCTGGTCACACGTCACTCCTACAACATGGAGGAGCATGTTCTGAGAAGTACGGCCTCTGGTGCCTCCTGCCACAGAAGGCCGTGTGACAAAACAGGGGCTCCTAGCAGAGGCCAGCACGAGGCATCTGAGGAGGAGAGGGGTGTGCACAGAGGCTTCAGGGAGGAAGGACACACAGTGCCGACAACGAGGCCTCACAGACACAGGACGACAGCGTGGCAGACGCCGCAAAGCATGCAGCGATGCTGGTAACTGCATGAAACATGTAAACAAACACTTCACCAACTGGAACCGACCTGCGGGGTCAGAAAACCACAACAGTGATGTGGAGAGAAAAAGGAAGCAAAATGTCCACAAGATGGCTTCCTACTCCAGAAGAAAAGCCACCAAAACCTCAGTCAGTGGCTGAGGCAGCAGCAGGAGCCAGGAGAACAAGTGACTCAGGAAGTCACACACACACACACACACACACACGATGTCTGCAAAGCCCTCCATCACAGGCATGTGTTCCTGGCCATCACAGGGGAAGGGGGCAGAAAGTGAAGGAGACAGACAGCCCTCCCCAGGCAGCAGACTCTCCATGCTCTCCCGCTTTCACAGATGGTTTCTCTGTGGGAGGCACATGTGTCAGCCCGGTACACACGTGGGATCATCAAAGAGACACAGAGGCTTTGCTGGAAACTGACCGTGGAACGGTAGGCGGCCAGCAGAACCGGATACTGGATCACAGCCTCGAACGCCGACAGCGTGATCTTGATGAACTCCTCGGAGGCCGCCATGCCTAGGACCACAGAGGCCGTTGCTGCGGGGGTCTGTCTGCCCCACCCTCTGGGGCGCCCGGGGGTCGGGTGCCAGGCTGCTCACCTATGGCTCCATCAATGTTCGTTTCTCCCAGGTCCACTGAGTTGATGTGACTCTGGAAAAGAAGTGCTCAGTGAGCGGGACTTTCAAAACCACTCTGCAGTAAAACTTAGGGAGTGAAGATGCTGCCCGGAAACACACCACTTCCTAAATTCAGGGGGAAACTACATGCAGATACTACAAACGCCGCAATCGTGGTTTAAAGTGTGTGCAGAAGTATTCCACACAGCACATTCACATACACCACTCGTACGCATGTGAAAAGGTGGCCCGGTAGTTAAGAGCTCAATTCCTGGAACCCAAGTGGACTCACAACGGTACCTCCAGCTCTGACACCTTCTTCTGGGTTCCACACGTGCCTGCACTCACATGTCTACAGACACGTGTGCTCACACAGATATGCACACACGTAATTTTAAGATTTCCTTTGTGAATGAGTGTTCCCCATGACGACGCCGACCGTGTGTGTACAGTGCCCAGGGACTCCAGCAGAGGGCAGTGGATCCCAGAGCTAGAGTTAAAGAGACGGGGAGCCACCACAGGGTGCTGGAAACTACCCGCAGGTTCTCCCACGAGCAACAGGCGCCCTGAACTGCTGAGCTGTCTCTCTAGGCCCTTAAGACAGATGGTCAAAACTTTACTACACAAAGAGTTAGTGTTGCAATAACTCAGAGGTGATAAAACAGTGAGGGCAGGCGTGGGTGAGGACAGGCATGGGTGACGGAAGCCGTGCTGTCATCCCACCTGGGGGCTGAGGCGGCAGGGCGGCCCTGAGCTTTAGCTACCCAGGCATACACAGTGAGCTACCTGCCGTGTGAAGACCTTGTCTCAAATACCTGCGTGAGAACAATCTGGCTGACACAGCCCGGACAGGTCAGGCCGCCTTCCCCTCACTGCCTGAAGCTGTAAAGAATGACACCTAATTTGGCAATATCAGTCATCCCAAAGGAACGTCCAGATACACAAGGAATCCAAGTCACGGTGAAACAGAGATCAAGGCCTTGGTGCAGGTTTCAGTACTATCTAGTGCCTGTCTTTACAGTTGTCACTGTAGTTAGTTCCTCCAAGTGACCAGCTAGAGTATACATACCACACACCACAGTACCACGTGAGAGTCGACATGCCACATACACACACCACGGCACACCACACACACACCACAGCTCAGCGTGAGAGGTGCTGGGTGATCTTTTTTCAAACTGTGTAAAGAGCGTTCTTGCGTTATTCAAATGTTGACTTCCATACCCAGAGAGCTGACTATAGACCAGACTTTGCTGTTGTTAAGCATGACATTGCAAACAGTGTTCTTCATCACCTTCTGATTGGCCGAATAGAGAGCTGAATGGCTGATAGCAAAGGCAGGACTTCTGGGCAAAGAGAGGATACCAGGGGAAAAAATCAGGTGTGAAAAACATTCACCTAAGAGACAGAGGATGTAGAACATATGAAAATGAAGAAGAGGTAATGAGCCACGTGGCAGACATCGATTAATAAATGAGTTAACACAGGTTATAAGAGCTGGCTGGGAACAAGGGTCAGGTAAGGCCTAAAGCTATTGTAAATAAATATGTCTTCATGTCATTCTTCAGAGCTGGGTGGGCACAGAAAGCCCTTATGGTTTTAATTGGCATCCAACATTTATCCAAGCTTAGTGCCTGAGAATAGTTCCAAAAAAGTCCTGGGTGGAAGGCAAGGAGCGAGCGCTCCCCAGAGCCAGATGTGGCTCTCTAGGAAGCAGCCTCTGAAGGGCACAGAGTGCAGATGGCAGCTCCTCTGCAGCCCTGTACCTAGGCGGGCCTGTGAGCCGTGGGCAGCAAGTGGGTAACTGGAGCCTCAGTGCACTGCACAGGTGCAGCGGCCACGAGGCCTGTGCCACCTCACACTGGAGTGACAGTGGGTTCGCCTTTCTCATGCTAGCAGGTGTGGGGGACCAGACCGAGCAGCGCCTGGCTGCTGGCACCACCTTTCCAGAGCCGGGGCGGGCCGGGGCAGCTTGGCATGCCGCCCACAAGCAGCAGCTCCCCCCCAGATTCAGGGCTAGACCAGCCCAGGTGGCGGAGCAAGCAGCCATGTGCCAAGCTGAGCTGAAGGGAAAATCCACGCCCAGACTGAAAAACTGAAGACCTGATCAGACAAACCTGTGATCAGGTAAGAACATATGAAAATGTGCTTAGATGCTAAGGAAAGAAAAAAAAAAAAAGAAGAAAAAGAAAAAAAAAAGAAACTGTATATAGACAGTCATAGAAAAAACTTTGAAAATAATAAAGTGAAGCCCTTAAAGAGAGAGCTAAGTAAAATTAAAAAGAAAAAGTGATGTAAGGATGGCAAAAAGTATAGAAAAATTAAATGCAGAAAAAGGTATTAAGCTGGAAAGCAGAAAAAAGAAAGAAATGCACATAGAAAATAAAGTCTCCAAAGAAAGGAGAAAGACTGATAAAGGCCCTGAAGGGAGGAGGGAGAGAAGTGAGAAAACATGATCTGTCAATATGCATAATAAAGTCAACAGGCAGTGGTGGCACATGCCTTTGATCCCAGCACTCAGAGACAGAGACAGGCGATCTCAGAATTACCAGGCCAGCCTGGTCTACAAAGTGAGTCCAGGACAGCCAAGGCTACACAGAGAAACCCTGTCAAAAAAAAAAAAAAAGAAAGAAAGAAAGAAAGAAAGAAAGAAAGAAAGAAAGAAAGAAAGAAAGAAAGAAAGGAAAGTAGCCAACAGAAGAAAAGAGTTAGAGAGATTTAAAAATATATTTTTTTTCTATGCTAAAAAACGAAGAACACAATGCAGAGGGCACTTGAATTCCATATAATTTTGGTTTGATTATCAGCACACAGATAATTATAGTGTCAGCAGTGACCACACTTGTATACACCCTCCTTAAGAAAAATCAGAATAGAGCAGACTTAGAGAAGGAAAAGACCGAGACATTAAACGCTTGAGTGGAGGAGGTAAGAGAAAGGAAACTGGAAAATCCTGTGGCTCAGAATAAAGGCTCTTCAGAGGATTCCAATCTGGAGCCCACAATGACAGCAAAGAAGTCAGTTCCAGATGAGAGAAACCCCCAAAGGCTTGAGGAGACTGCAGCAAGGGAGCCCGTAGAGATGCCAGATACAAATGCTTCAGCTGTGAGCCACCGTGATCAGACTAGAGATTATATTTATGTTGTCAAGATCATTTGCTAGATGATTATACTATAACGCTGAGTTGAGAATACAGGTTCTGTTTAATGATGCCACCTTAGAGCAATGTCACACAATAATTCATGTGTTTTATTTTGTGGAGTTTGGAAAATTGAAGTAAGCACAAGCACAGACACATATTAAGAGTTCCAAAGGGCTTGAAGCCTAGAATTCTGAAAGGGCTGGTGCTGAGGCTGCATGCTGAGCAGAGGCAGGGGCCATCTTAGAGATGCCTTTACATGCTGAAGCTGATGATGCTCTGCCATGTGTGTCCAGGAAAAGATAACGTTTTTAGACTTCATGGTATAGAAAGTGTTACAGATACACTTTAAACCTTACAGCAATTATGGAGAGAGCTAACAGGAATTTAGAGAAATGCTCATACAGCAGAAGGTGGAATGGGATCTCCCAGAGCTAGATTAAGTCCATGAGACAAACAGCACAGCTGCTGAAAGACACTGGATTGAGGACAGGAATGCTGAATTAAAACAACCTATATACGTCTTAACTTCAGAATAGAAAGCGGGAAATGTGCTGCGTTGGGGGAGAGGTTTTACCTTTGTTTTTCAAAGGAGAAGAAAAGCTATGATTCTGTCACAATCAATAACGATTAGATTTGGGCAGGAGAGACCTCTTGAAAACCTTGGCTGCAGATATGAAGGAAGAAGTCAAGAAGACCAACAAAGCAGGTGACATAGTGCTGATCCCTCTATGTGGGCACAGCTCTGAGGCCAGCTGACACATGTGTCTGTGAAGCCAATGAATCTTGCTGGCTACAGAGTCCTCAGGACTTTCATGTTATCTTTTCATGTGGCGTGGATGGAGATTTATACTACAGTTTAGGGACACAGTCCAAACAGACATAAAACGCGGTGCCTTTCACCTGCTCAAAGAGCAGAGATTCATCTTTAGCCAATGTGTACCTGCACATTCTGTGCATGCGTTAGTGCAGAAATGTGTGCTACCTTTAAAAGTTTGTGTTTTCAGAAAAAAAAGGACCAGACACCAATGAATACAAGACAAGCATCCCAAATAATCCAGTCTCATGGACTGCCTCAGCTGTTGTATCCTCGAAACCCTGCAACCAGAACAACTTCAGAATAGCTAGCTAAGATGGCCCAGCTTTGCCATCACACAGAGACTGGACAACAAATGAGACAGCTAACTCTCCTAGGACTTCGCCAATATCCAAATTTTCTTAGGGCACCCAAAAGATGCTGTCACCAAAGACAGCAGGAAGCAATTTTAGGAGAAAGACACCCCATTCCCAAGAGGTTGGATGGGTGGTTTGGGGTCATTCGATGGGTGATGAATGCTTGTCATTAATTAAAGAGGGCTGGTCACAAGTTAACGGTCTTCGTCAGGGAGGAAACAAAGTAACGGAGGTTAGATTCAGGAATTTCTTTCTTTTTCTTTCCTTTATCCTTCTTTCTCTCTTATCTAAAGCTAGGGAGAAGGAGGGAGAGGAAAGAAAGGAAAAAAGGAGGACATAGGAATGATAGGCCAAGGCAGAGCAGACTATTGAATCTACTTTTAGACTAGAAAGCCATAGTAAGCCAAATATTTTACATTGGTATAGATTTTTATACATTGAAACAAATTTAAGGTTATATTTTGCTATAGCATACTGTATATATTTCCACTCATGTTTAAGGTATTGTACCTATGCAGCTCATTTAAAATGCAATGTGAAGCTCTAGTCCTTTTGAAAGCTATTATTAGAAACTGTTCAGGATAATTAAGAAATACAAGTTAGTAGTTAATCAAACTTGTGGTCATGTTGGTACTAGTTTGATTAATCACAGAAATAAGCTTTATTTAGCCTCCTGTAGGTGTTTTTGAAGTTAAGAAGATAGTGAAAAGCTAGAAACAAGC